CATGCTGACGCCTCCAGAACCGGCAAGCTCTGGAAACACGAATCGCTGACGAACTCGCAACAAATATCAACGGAACACAAACTTGAGCTACCAACCGGATAAAACGATTTTTCGACTGACCCCCACCAAACGATACTCTATCTGATACTTTGCCTGAAACTTCATCTGCCATGTATTCTGGCATCCTGGCATGTTATCCGACAAATATTCCTACATGCACATGTCACAGTCACATAGAAGTGTAATTATATATATATTATATACTATACTATACTATACTATGCTATGCTATGCTATGCTATGCTATGCTATACTATGCTATACTATACTATGCTATACTATGCTATGCTATGCTATGCTATGCTATGCTATACTATACTATACTATACTATACTATAATAATATTTATTGGGTGTCTTTGGGTGTTTTGTTGGACATTTTATCTGGTATTTGGCCTGCATTTGCCTGCTCTTCTATCTGACAGTTATCTGGCATATTCCAACATATTCCAGCATTTCTTTGCATTGCTGAGATTTTTAAATAAACTGGCAATATCTCGCATTCTATTTGGCATGGTGTTCGGTTCCGGGGCCCCTAGAGCCTGCGAGCTCACCGTAGTGTGCGGTTCGGCGTTGCCCAGAGAAAACTTGAGAGCTGGCGTTGCTGTCCCGGCCCGCGCCTGCCACGTGAAACGAAGGTGGACGTCTCAAAGTGCCACGCCTGCAAGGTGCAGCTACATGTCGCCAAGTGCCACGCCTGCCACGCAAAAAGCCGCGGCGTCCACGGCGACTGCTGGGAACCGAGCGCGCCACCAGAGCCAGCCCAGTGCCATACGTGCCACGCCTGCCACGTTGAGAAGTGGTGTGTGGACAAGTTGTGTGTGAGCAAGTTGTGTGTGAGCAAGTGGTATGATATCAAGTTGTGTGTGAGCAAGTGGTGTGATGACAAGTTACAAGTTCTCATCACACAACTTGTCATCACACCACTTGCTCACACACAACTTGATATCATACCACTTACTCACACACAATTTGCTCACACACAACTTGTCCACACACCACTTCTCATCACACCACTTGTCATCACACCACTTGTTTTCACACTACTTGTCCACACACAACTTACTCACACGCAACTTGTCATCACATCACACCACTTGTCTTCACACTACTTGTCCACACACAACTTGTTTTCACACTACTTGTCCGTCCGCACACACCTTGTCCACACACAACTTGTCATCACACCACTTGCTCACACACAACTTGATATCATACCACTTGCTCACACACAACTTGCTCACACACAACTTGTCCACACACCACTTCTCATCACACCACTTGTCATCACACCACTTGTCTTCACACTACTTGTCCACACACAACTTGTCTTCACACTACTTGTCCACACACATCGTGGTGCGTGGACAAGTTGTGGGTGACGGGAGGGTGACGGGAGGAGGCGGCGGACGGGATGCAGAACCAAAAACAAGAACCCCACACAAAGATGTGGGGAAAAACCAGTGCACGACTCCATTTTTTTGGCATGAATTCTCCACGAAACAGGGGGTGGTATCAAGCACGTGCTC